ATGTCGCGCAGCCGCCACAAGTAAAATAGGTTAGCAAAAGCGCCTCGAGTTTTTGCTATAAGGTTCGTGATCCCATCTTCCATCCCACGGCGCTGATACAACTTTCCAGGTATGCGAATTTTTGAACGACTTCTAGCTGATCCCCACCAAGGGTCAGCTCAGGAGGCGATCCCTGCCAATCTTGGAGGAACGCTTTGCACTTCGATGGTGCAAAGCAAAGCCCGAAGCGGCTGACAGTCAGTGTTAATCAGTCTAGTGCAAGTTGGCAGGTCTGGGAGCTGTCACACATGAGGGCAATGTCGTCTGCATAATCCAAGTCAAGAAGTCGTTCTCTTGAGAGTAGATCCACATCTTCTAAGCCGTGTCCTATGAACTTAATTTCCATGACTTCGTCAATAACGAGGTTGCAGGGGGAAGGTGAAAGCAGGCATCCTTGACTCATACGGCTGGAGATATTGAAGGGCGACGGCAGCTTGCCGTAAGCCCTCACACTGCCTGAGTTATGCGGCGTATAATGATCGGACAATATTTACATATTTCACAAGTACACCTTTCCTGAGAAGACAGTCCCAAAGTGCACGTCCATACACCGAAACGAATGCAACTTTGTTATCGAGGACCACGACAACGGTGGGCCGCCATTATGTGTGACGGTACTCAAACAATTGACGCAAAGTAAAGATGTGATCAATGCAGCCACGAAATCGACGAAACCCGGCTTGCTCATCACGAATATGGCTTTCACAAGTGACAGTCAGTTTGTGAAGGATGACACAGGCAAACAATTTGGAGGCGATGGACAGCAGACTGATTCCTCTATGGTTGCCCCATTCCGATCGTGAGGTTCCCTTGAAAATTGGGACTATGACGGGGTGGCTCCAGTCGGTTGGGACAGTTTTCTGCTCCCACAGTTTCAATACTAACTCATATAAAGCATCTACCAGAGCACGTCCCCCGAACATGAAGAGGGCTGGAGGTAGATCGTCTGGTCCCGCGGCTTTAGTTAACTTCAACAGTGCGATCTTACATTTGACTTCTGAGCAAGGCGGTGGATCTAAAGGGACAGCCCACAGAGTGGGGCGAGCAGTGGTTGGCGATAAATCTAACAATTCCGGCCGATTAAATTGCTCAGCCCAACGCTCCAAGCATTTTGACAAGTTGTGGATAGGATGTCCACTCTTGTCGCGTATAGCTTCACTGACACCAGGTCTTCTGCTGCCCGCATCCAAACCCCTATCCGCCCTTCTCGATGCAACAAATAGGGCACCGTTGATTATCCTCTGCGGTGGCCAGAGCATTAAGAAACTGTTTAAAGAGAAATTCATTGCATTGCGTGAGCAGGATACTGTCAGGTTGCCCAAGCCCAGACAGGAGAACGATTAGGGTTCTCAACCAAAGCCATTGGTTCAAAAAACTTACCACAAGGCAGCGGGTTTGGCGTTGGGTTACAAGGAGTGAGTTTTAAGAAATAAGGAGCCACCTCATTCTAACCCCTGGCCTGGAGGACCAGGAGGCTGAATTTGTCTGGCCTCTAACCATTGACCAATCTGGTATGAGTGGCTCTGGAGGTGCAAAGAAAGCACCACCCAGCACAGCTGAATGACTCGTGGAGACGCACAAACCATCGCATCACGGTAAGGTCCAACCTCATTACGATGGCAATAAGCTACCAGTCCGACCAGCTCCGCCAATGTATTGGGATACCAAATTCACAGACCGAGATCTTAGATAATCACCCTGGCAGCGAACATAAAATGATCGGACTCAATTTCCACATTAAAACAGACACTAAATTCGCCTCTACACTGCCATGCAACCCATAAGATAAACTGGGAATGCTTTCAGCAATTCATTCGTTTCTCCGACGGGGATGTATTTTTCCCCTCTACCAGTGTGTACACCGCTACAATCTATAGCCCTCCTGGCTCCACGATGTATACAAACTTCCCATGTCTCCAAAGATTCCGTCGAGCACCTAATCAGTAAGAAAACAAGAAAATTAGCTGCAAGATACAGAAAGACTCACGACTTCCACTTATCTTACAAAAGCACGAATTTGCTACCAGAGGCAAACATGTCCAATTAACACGACAAAAAATGAACAACATACAGCCCTATGGACAAACTGCAAACCTAGGCAGCTTGTCAAATACTGCATAGTAGAACCAGTGACAGCTCTCCTCTGATTACCGAAAAAGTTGACAGTGTGGGCCACTAACTTCATGACCCAGCTGAAATCTGTGAATCATTCAATGACATTTTGCCTCTGCCATGAGTCGCGAAGCTGATCCTTTGCCTGTAAGCACAGGGGTCACAGTAACAAACCTCTTAAGCAGAGTGGATAATTCGCACAACCATAGCCATCAAGTTATCAAGTCAACCAGGCCATTCTCCAAGCTAGAATCTGATGGCATTTCACCAACCACCATTAAACTAGGAGAGCCTGGTATACCACTGCTCCTCATGAGCATGTTTACCCTATGGCTGGAATCAATCCCTTTTACAGACCAAGGTCATTTGTCATGCTTCTACACAAAGGAGGTCCCAACCAAACGATTGATAACTACCGACCAATCCACCACACTCCGAAAATCTCTCTGCTATTTAAAAAACTGGTCAAAAAGGAGATGATGAATTTTGTTGATTCTATCGGCCTGATCAACCATTCTCAGCATGGTTTTCTTTGCAAACGCTCGTGCACCACCAGTAAACTGCAATATCTTAATCACATTTTATAATCAATCGATTACGGCTATGCAGTAGTAATCTTGTTTTTGACATACACAAGGCGTTCGACCGAGTACCGCACAAGCAACTGTTCCGAAAGTTGGAGGACTTTGGGATCCGGGACCCATTACTAAGTTGGCTATCGTCATACCTGTGTGATGGTCATCAGGTAGCCACTTCAGGTGATGCTCGCTCTTCCCCACGCTCAATCATCACTGGAGTCATTCAAGGGAGCGTGTTCGGTCTCTTACTCTTTTTGCTCCACATCAAGGACATCGTCACATCTGTAAAACATGGTACATCACTTTTATTTGCTGACGATATCGATCATCTATAAGCTTCGGCGTGACGAGCTTCAAGGGACCTTACTTCTCATTTAAGATGATTTACATTCCCTTGAGTCATGGTACTGCATATGGGTGATGAAGCTCTCGGCTAAAACATCAAGCATCATGTCTTACGGCTGCTGCATCCCAGAAGGATCTATCACCCTAAACAATGAACGCTTCCCTACACAGTTGTCCACGCGAGATCTTGGAATTAGGTACTCTTCTACCTTCAATTTCTCCGAACAGGCCCAATACCAAGTAGCACGTACCAAACAGTCTATGTTCAATATACCAAACAAAATGCACACAACTTTTGTTAAAGTTGAGCTGTTCAAGCTACCCACTCGCCCCATCCTCGAATACTGCCGCATAATCTACGGCAATAAGAGGAGTGACAGAATTACTGTGGAGTAACTGCAGAGGTTATTTGCTAAAATTATGATTGGTAAACACTCTGCTATGAGTTATCGAGAACGCTGCAGTGAACTCCAAATCGAACCACTTTGGATTCGACGATTGAAGCGCAAACTGTTACTGCTTTTCAACGTGCTACACAAAATGACCTATTCCGACCTGCCTACACGCAAATTACAACATTGCTCAACTCGAGCGTTTTGCAATAAAGATTGCACTGAATATACTGAAGGCTAGAACAAATTTTCGCTCTAATTTCTTCCTGATCGGATATAGTTAGCTATGGAATAAACTACTGACAACACACAGGTTATGTGACAACGTGGCAACATTTAAAAGCATGCTCTCCAGTTACCTTGATCTAAATATCATAATCACTAGATTCACTCGGGAAGAATCCCTCGAAGAGCTATTCCAAGCGGTCGAAAAATATCTAGACACCAAGGTTTTGAAAACTAGACTTTTTCCTCTACCATCCGCCAGAAGGTTACAACATTAAACGCATATCCAATATTCCACCTGTGAATATCACCCATGCAAGAGCATGGCTAATTCTGTGCAAACTGGTCTGTGCAACTACAGACACAGTTTCTTGCACCGGCAGAGATATACGTATTACTACTACTACTACTACTACTACTACTACTACTACTACTACTACTACTACTACTACTACCACTACTATTACTACCACCACTATTTTATTATTATTATTATTATTATTATTATTCTATAGGTCGTTCAAACATTGACGCAATGCAGTGGCTTATCGAATCCGAGGTTTGTTGACATACCTTTTCCATTCCTATTTGTTCTTGCAAGCGACTAGCATCAACAAGACTTTTCGACACGTCACCCCCACCATTTTGTATCATAAACTGGCGAGGAGCTTCAAAATCAATTGAAGATCTCTGGCTGTTGACCATACCACTAGAAGATTTTGCATCCTCATCAATATGTCTGCTCTGTTAACGGAGCCCGAAAGGGAGTGTGTCATGACCCAGCATCACAGTAGTTGGTAGAACTAAGCTACTCTCAAAGAACTGCTTTCTCACTTAGCCATGGACTGTGCCCAGTGCGAACCAAGAATAAAGCTGGGGTTGACCGTCCTCTCATTCCCAGGTTTAAAAAAAGTGCAGTCATTGCGATTGCACTGAGTGGAGTTGCAGCAATAGCGTTTTGCCGCAAAGGAATTTCGCTTCACTATAGGAAAACAAACAATTAAGGATACTAGCTTCCACTCCATACTGAGTGTATTTGTAAACTGTATGCGCCATGTCATATGGCAAAGCAATACGGCGGGATGAAAAAATAAAGTTTCGTAATCTTTTAAGCAAGGTAGAAGGAATTTGTTTGTGTCCATTAAACTTAACTAGAAGCTTTCCAATACAAATGACTCTGAAGATAATCAAGGGTGGTACATCTGCAAGACAAAGAGGCGGAAAGACAGCAACAAACGGAAGCTGTAGTAGTACTAGAATAAAGACAGTACAGAAAGTCACTGAACTTTCCCAGAAACGCACTACCCACCTGAATAACCGGGGATCATTCCTGAGATATATTTGTTGTCGCCAGTTGGTTTGGGTAACATTCTTCCAGGAACCTCATCTTTGAACACCGAGCGCACAGTAGCATCCTTCTGGTCACCGACCACTGGATGTAGGTGGTGTGGCTTCTGTAAAACATTTTCTGTGAATACAGATATCAAACGGTATATACCTGGGATTTTGGACCTTCATAGTATGGAAGCTCCTGCAAAAGACATATTAAAATAAGAAAACATGACTGTCTTACCTCAGCCAGCTCAGCCGTTTCCTTTCCGTAGGAATGACCAGAGCGGAACTTGAGTTGGGGACAGTAACCGGAGTAGCTGAAATGGGCCCAATGGAAAAGTAAAAATGATAAAAAGTAACTGGGTCAAACATATGAAACAAGGCACATCTCTTCGACCAGCTACTATGCTGACTAAAACACACGCTAGAAGGACGTCATCATCACGTGATGAGGATTGCGCCCACCAGTTATCGAAGGGTTTGCACACATCACCAGCATAATCATCATCATCATCATCATCATCATCATCACCAACAACAACAACAACAACAAAACTAAAAGCATTTAGACTAATACTTTTCTGTTTTACAACCACAAAAGCCTAAGGAATTAGGACAATGACATAAAAACAACATAGATATCGTGCAAAACCCAAATGTCTAAGAAAACATTTAGTGCCCAGGCACCTAGATCTTAACAACAACACAGCCACAAACAGCTGGCTATCGTCCAAAATTCAGGCAGATAAGCGATACCGTTTCCTTGCGGTCTTCACGGCCCCGAGTTATAACCAGCTGTTACCAACAGAGAACAGCATCCTACACAACGTCAAAGGCCAACCTGACTAGCAAGTCATGTTCAGCGCAACTTATTCACTATTATTTGTTGTTCCAAGAAATTAGGCCGATAATTACCGTCTAGTATGGGCCTACACATCGTTGCACTGTTGTTATCGGACGCCAGCAATGCCTCACAATCATCAATGCTAATAAGCTAAGAGCCACTTTATATCCTCAAACCGAAGGCGTTAATTGTTACTACCGTTAAATGGGACAGTTCCCACCGTTGCCTTTCACACACGGCTTCTCAGACCGAAAGAAACCCTATTCTGTCGCCCCAGATGTCTAGGGTCAAGAAGGCGGTTATAGATTTGGCAGTGCGTGAACTAACTGTAGGAGCCGCGCGCTCAAGGTTGTTCATACAGTTGCCACGAGGAGGGATTTAGTTAACTACTTCTAGTTTCAAGTCGTGAAATCAAAACTTCATCAAGTGGCTGGTGGTTCTGCAACATCATTTCGCACTTTGTAGGTGCGAAGCACATACCAAATGATGTGACCACTCCGGACAAAATATCCACAGTTAAGTGAGCTCTATCGCGACTATCAAAAAACAAGATGATATCCCCAACATAATCTACGTCAACCAACTTCTAGCAGGCAAGCTTTCATTTCCCAAAGCGTGAGATCTTGCAGATGAACGATCTATGATATAATCCCAGAGAAATTGAACAAAAACCGGAAATAGATCAACGCACGTGTATGTCATTTTCTTCAGAATGTGTGCGTCTTTATGTAATGTGTGATGTTTGAGTACAAGGCACAAAAAAAGCATTTCTTGTTGCTCTTTTCTTATTATTCATATTGTTTTCCTATTCAGCCATGATTCCGATGGCACAATATCTGTACCACAGATTGTGTATAATATATATATATATATATATAACATGCAGGGCACAACGAATGTTTACATATTTAATGTGCACACCTCTCCGAACAAGTATGTCTAAGAAACTGGAGCGATCGACAGAAACTAACTCAATCTTGAAATCGAGGATTAGAGCTGTTCTAGCACCTGTCAAAAACGACCTAGCTAGTCCATGCAGCCCGGTCCTGGACGAAAGCCTGCTTGTTCCTCCGGCTTTCGTGATTCCGGTTTGGAGGAGAAATACGGGCGGTTGTGTAGGACCTACTAGCGTGAGGTTGGTAACCGTGTTGTTAATTTTGTCAGTGTGGCTGATGATGCTGATGATGATGTGGCAGCTGTAAGCCGTAACAGCGCTTCGCTGTAGCGCAACCACCAGTCGCGCGCGGGATGAATATACCGCTAGGACGCCCACCCCTACGCGGATTCGAACCGGTGACCTTACAAACCGCACGCGCAAACCACTCGGCCACCGGCGGACTCAGTGCGGCTGCCCTACTTACATCCTGACACCAATTGATTCCCCCCAGTTTGTTAAAATGGTTTCTAACTATCAGATCTGTTCGCACAGGAAGGTTAGTGATTTGCCGAGGACTATCGCCATCATTAGGTAGTGAGAGGGAATGCCGGCAGGCAGTTTTAAAACGAGTGAGGGTTGTGATTGCATTCCCGACCTCAGCTTCCAAAAGAGCTCCTAAACTAACTCACCAAAGCTCAACGTGCATTGCTCGAGCAGTAATATGTCGAGTGGTTGGAAGCTACATGAACTGCACTCAAAAGGGCTCTGCCAAACGGGCCAGGCGACGTTCCTTATTATAAACTAATGAACCGGTGCTGTTTCTGATCAGCTCGCTGACTCCTGGTTACCGAAATTTAATGCGAATCAGCCAGAAGAATTTGCTGTACTTGCTGACCGACACTACATCATAGATTTCTTCACATATTTAGTCAATCTGACTTCTTTATCATCACACAAGCTCCAGATTAGCTTGTACCTCATCTTTCGCCTGAGCACATTGTGTTTGCGGCCAGCCTGGAGATTTCTTCGGGATCCCAACAGATTCACAGACCACTTGGATATTCTGTGATTAGTACGAATATGAGTACTATGGTCACAAGAGAGGCATCACCATTGTGCATGAACATCGAAATACTATTACTCTGACGCTCGGCAGCTCTATAGGAATTAAGAATAAACCTGGGATAAAGGGTATCCTGGCAGTTTAGCTTGATTTCAGATTTGAAAATTCTCAGCTGCAGTCGAGCTTAAATATTGGCACAAGTAGCGGCGGATCATGGTATTCTAAGAGTCCACCCATGTGTTCCAGTAAGAGTAGGGGTCCAAAATTGGACCGAACCACCTTTAGCTTACGATAACATGGTCTCCTGTAGCCAGATGTATAGGGTCGCCAGCTGGCAGAATAGTTCCCTTTGCGCCAAAATAATGAGCTTTCAATAAACAAACAATATCAGAAGCACAGCTACAACAAAAGCTGTCTGCTGTACTTGCTTTCAAACTGAACTCAAAGCTTAAGCCTACCTGAGTTTCATAGGGATTCAGGCGACCTGTTTGCGCATTCATATCTCCGGCGACTATTAGGACACCATAACTAACAGCGCTGTGAAGCTGTGTGGGGAGTTTGTGGTAAATATGGGCCGCAGCTAAAGAACTCTGTGATAAGGTTTCGAGACATAAAGTGGGCCTGCGACAAGTCACCCTTAAAGCTGATAAAATCAGTCCGTCATCATGACACGGGATGTTAAACGGTCGGCGTGCGCACGACTACAGCTGGCCACAGTGAAGATCACTAGCAGGGTTGATTCTGTAGAGACAAGCGACGTGAATCAGCCCGGAAACGTGTAGTCTGAGGTTAAAGCATGTGACCTATAAAGTTAACCTGTTCTGTTCCTAATATACTTTCGCCTGGCAAGCCTCTGTCTTCTGTAACCGTTTCTCGAATGGATTTATGGCGCAGAGCAGAGAAAGCGCACGGCGAGTCCTGATGATGGGCTGTTCCTGACATGGAGTTTAAAGGCGCTGCCAAGGTAGTAGTAGTAGTAGTAGTAGTAGTAGTAGTAGTAGTAGTAGTAGTAGTAGTAGTAGTAGTAGTAGTAGTAGTAGTAGTAGTAGTAGTAGTAGTAGTAGTAGTAGTAGTAGTAGTAGTAGTAGTAGTAGTAGTAGTAGTAGTAGTAGTAGTAGTAGTAGTAGTAGTAGTAGTAGTAGTAGTAGTAGTAGTAGTAGTAGTAGTAGTAGTAGTAGTAGTAGTAGTAGTAGTAGTAGTAGTAGTAGTAGTAGTAGTAGTAGTAGTAGTAGTAGTAGTAGTAGTAGTAGTAGTAGTAGTAGTAGTAGTAGTAGTAGTAGTAGTAGTAGTAGTAGTAGTAGTAGTAGTAGTAGTAGTAGTAGTAGTAGTAGTAGTAGTAGTAGTAGTAGTAGTAGTAGTAGTAGTAGTAGTAGTAGTAGTAGTAGTAGTAGTAGTAGTAGTAGTAGTAGTAGTAGTAGTAGTAGTAGTAGTAGTAGTAGTAGTAGTAGTAGTAGTAGTAGTAGTAGTAGTAGTAGTAGTAGTAGTAGTAGTAGTAGTAGTAGTAGTAGTAGTAGTAGTAGTAGTAGTAGTAGTAGTAGTAGTAGTAGTAGTAGTAGTAGTAGTAGTAGTAGTAGTAGTAGTAGTAGTAGTAGTAGTAGTAGTAGTAGTAGTAGTAGTAGTAGTAGTAGTAGTAGTAACAATAATAGTGGTCGTAGTAATATAGTCAGCAGTTTATCATATAGATACAGAGCCTTACATAACCAAGGAAATCACTAGAGTAAGGCAGGTTAACCGCCGTATAATCGTCATGGCAGATAAACTAAAAGTGAGCGACACAGTTCAGCTGTGGCGCAATATATAAAAAAGAGCTTTTCTATGTTATATCGCACACGCCATTTTTTAAATATATTGTCGTTTTTAACCGTAATCATTGAAATCTAAGCAGCGTTTTACGTAAATCCTCCACGGGCTTCGATTAAGAGGCATATCCAGAATCATTTTCAGACATCAGCACTCCTCTTCCTTTGGTCCCAAATAGGCAGACGTGTGTATCCAATGGTGGCAAGACGGGATGTCAGTAATTACATTTGCAGTCGCCAGGCGGATGGTGTTCGCCACATGGTCGCTACCATTTGTGTCCTGCACGAGCTATCGGAGAGCGAAAGGGCAATCCTATAGCTGATATACTCAAAACATGACCGAGTCATCTTAACCGGCGCAGCAAAGCCAGCTTCCTGAAGGAAATACACCATCCCTACGACACAACGTCTGATTTCCTTATTGCAAATATGCTCTTGATACCACATACAAGCAATTCCCCACAAGCACGCATTACCGAAGGTCGAGAGCCGGTGCATGTGATCTGCGCGAAGCGGCCATGATTCGCTTCCTCATTGCGACACCGCCCAAACAGTGACATTGTAAGCACGACCCTCAGTCAAGAGGGAGATATTCCAACGACGCCACAAATGCGGCAGGGTGACAAACGCCGGCCAAGCTTTGGCGATGCGGCAGGAACCTTCCCACTATTGGTACCAACAGCAGACACACAGCTGCCAAGGTGGACCAAGCTATCCACTTGTTCAAACTGTGT